GGGCACCCCCCTCACCCACAGAGCAGGGCCGATCAGGGGGTTGGGGCACCGCCACTGTCACACTCAGGGCAGGGCCGATGGGGAGGTTATGGCTCTACTCTGTCACACACAGAGCAGGGCCCATGGCGGCAGGGAGGGGGGCGTTGGGGCGCCACTCCCTGTCACACACAGAGCAGGGCCAATCGGGGTTGGGGTGCCGTACTCTGTCACACAGCCGCAGGGCGATCAGAGGTTGGGGAGCTCCCTGCTATCAGGCACAGAGCAGGGCTGATCAGGAGGTTGGGGCACCTTCCCCTGTTACGAACAGAGCAGGGCGGATAGGGAGGTTGTGGCCCCACCCACTGTCATACACAGAGCTGCAGGGCGATCAGGGGGTTTGGGCGCTGCCTCCTGTCACGCTGACCCCAGTGCCAGGAAGCCGCTCAGCTCTGCTGATTCCGGTGCTGGGAGGCATATTACCCTTTTACTATATAGGATAGAGGTCTGGTGCATGGGTGGGGCTAGCTGGTTGGCCCTGAAGGGTGTCCTGGATCAGGGTGGGGTCCCCACTGGGGTGCCTGGCCAGCCTGGGTGAGGGGCTGAGGGCTGTTTGCAGCTGGTCACAGACCCTTCAGGGTGGGGGTCCCCACTGTGGTGCCTGGCCAATCTGGGTGAGGGGCTGAGGGCTGTTTTCTGGCTGGCGGGTGACGGAAGCTCCCAACCGCTCCTTTTTTTCTTTTTTCTTTTTTTAATTCTGGGCCAGCTTTAGCTCTGAGGCTCCAGCTCTCAGGCCTCCGCTGCTGAAAGTAGGTATATGCTTTGTTTCGGTTCTATAATCGCAACAATGTATAACTCCAGCTCTGACTCCAGCTCTGAGATCCCAGCTCGCCGAAAGCTGGTTTCTGGGGTTTTTTTAGCTTCTATATTTGTTAAAATGTTTCAAACTGCAGGCTCAGAGGCCTGCAAGGCAGGCAGGGAACGTTGGAGTCCTCTGTCACTGAAGCAAGCAAGCCTAATGTTAGTTTCAAGTTGCCTGGCTGCTGGCCACCATCTTGGCTAGCAGTTAATTTGCATATCGCCCTGACTAGCCAATTGGAAGGGTAGCGGTCGTATGCCAATTACCATGTTTCTCTTTTATTAGATAGGACTAGAGGCCAGATGCACGAAATTTGTGCAGGGGGCTTGGCCCTCACAGCCTTGGCGGCTTGCCTCAGCCCTCACAGCCCTGGCTTCATCCGGAAGGTCATCCAACTATCCAGTCTAATTAGCCTATTATGCTTTTATTATAGATACGGACATGTTATAGGTTAACTTTAGATCAGAAGCATTTATTAGTGAGTTAAAATCTCCAAAAATTAGAATAACATAATATTTGAACTATATCATTTTAGAAGTTTTTTCTTAATATGTTTATATTGATTTTTTAGAGAGTGAAGGAGAGAGACAGGCAATGATATGAGAGAGAAACAATGATAGGTTGCCTCCTGGATGTACCCTGACTGGAGATCAAACCTGAAAGCTGGGTATGTGCTCTGACTGGTGCATGGTAAGACGCTCACCCAACTGAGCCACAATGGCCAGGGCACTTCAGACATTTTTAGCATCATCTGAGAAAATTAAAGAAAACGGACTTCCATAAATAGTAAAGATATTTTAATATGAGTTTTTTATTCATAATTTGGTTATATTATACTTACTTTTACTGTTCTTTTTTGGCATTTACCTCAGGGATTATTGTAATTTCTTTCCACTTCCCCTTCTTTCTACTACTTATTTTTAAATTGCAGTTTATAAACAATCATGTGTTGTTTTTTTATTATAACCGTGTTGTCAATTTCTGGTACTTCAGTCTTTAAAAGTTATTCCAGGTCCTACATATTTTTTTTTTTTTTTTTTTACTTTTGGTGTTGGTATTCAGATTTTAGACTAAACCATTTGAGAGATGAGATTTTGGTGAGCCCATAATTTCCTGATTTAGTTTTCCCTATTTAATTTTGGAGATCATCTTGTTTTGCAAGAAAGTGAAAGTTGTTTAAAAAGTACATATTAAATTTCCTAAGAGAAAACCTATATAACTATTTTTTTGAAACTGGTAATACTTGAATTCTGTTGATTTACCTGGTTGTTGGGTCTGATATTTCTTAGGGTAATGTTGCTCTCAGTATTGAAATAGAAAAAATTTTTAAAAACCAAGAAAATACGGAAATATGTAGACAGAAGGACCTTGAAACTTACTGAGTACAAACCATTTGTTAAATGTCCATTATGTATGAGAATTATTCACACTTATTAACTTCTAGAAACTTTCTTTTCTAGCATAGTATTTGTTATATATTAAGGTGAAAGTTGTAAGATTGCTCTAAAATTTTGTTGACTGTAGAACTTGTTAATGGTTAAATTTAATTATTAACATATGGTTGGCTACCTTATTTTCTTCTAAAGCAAACTTTTCCCTAATCCTTTAAACTACATCTCTTCTTTTTAAACCTCTAATCCTAAAGAAAGAGTAATCTATATGTTTGTCTCTCTAACACTGTTATCCTCTCACTCCTCACTAATCATTTGCCTTCATTGTTTTCCAAAAATGCTCTATTAAAGTCCCCAAATTCAATAATATTGGTCTTCACATGTGTGTGTTCTATGAGGATCTGTCCATGATTAACTTTATTTTTCCACTTATACTGTACTAGAGGCCTGGTGCATAAATTTGTGCACTTGGGGGGGTGGGGAGGGTTGTCCCTCATCTCAGCCTACGGCCTCTTGCAGTCAGGAGCCCTCAGGCGATGTCTGACTGCTGGCTTAGGGGACCTAAGCCAGCAGTCAGACATCCTTAGCACTGCCGCAGAGGCGGGAGAGGCCCCCGCCACCACCGCTGCACTCGCCAGCCATGAGCCCAGCTTCTGGCTGAGCGGTGCTCCCCCTGTGGGAGTGCACTGACCACCAGGGGGCAGCTCCTGCATTGAGCGTCTGCCCCTTGGTGGTCAGTGCGCATCATAGCAACTGGTCATTCTGCTGTTCGGTCGATTTACATATAGATTGCTTTGAATAGTATGAACATTTTAATTATGTTGATTCTGCTAATTTATGAACACGGTATATTCTTCCACTTATTTATATCTTCCTCTATCTTTTTTCAATGTCCTGTGTTTTCCGAGTACAGGTCTTTTACCTCCTTGGTTAAGTTTATTCCTGAGTATCTTAATTTTTGTTGTTGTTGCAGTGGTAAATGGGATTTTTTTTTATAGTTTATTTTTCTTAGAGTTCATTATTAGTGTATTAAAATGCCACAGATTTCTGGGTGTTAATTTTGTATCCCGCTACATTGCTGAATTCCTTTATTAAATCTGTTTTTATGAAGTTTTTAGGGTTTCCTATGTACAATATATCATCTGCAAATATGAGTTTTACTTCCTCCTTTCCAGTTTGGATGCCTTTTATTACTTCTTGTCTGATCACTATGGCTAGGACTTCCAGTACTATGTTGAATAAGAGTGGTGAAAATGGGCATCCTTTTCTTGTTCCTGTTCTTAGGGTACATGGTTTTATTGTTTGCCCATTGGGAATTATGTTGGCTGTAGGTTTATAGGTTTTATTATGTTGAGGTATGATCCCTCTATTCCCACTCTGCTGAGAGTTTTCATCAAAAAACGATGCTGGATTTCGTTACAAATGGAAGAATATACCATGATTGTGGTTTGGTAGAATTAATATTATTAAAATTTCCATACTACACAGAGCAATCTATAGATTCAATGCAATCCCTATTAAAATAAAAACAGCATATTTCACAGATCTAGAACAAACACTCTAAAAACTTATATGGAACCAAAAAAAGTCCCAAATAGATGCAGCAATCTTGAGAAAGAAGAATGAAGTTGGAGGAATCACAATACAAGATTTCAGGTTACACTGCAAAGCCACTATAATCAAAACAACCTGGTACTGGCACAAGAGCAGGTATATAGAGCAATGGAACAGAACAAAGAACCGAGAAATCAACCCAAGCCATTATGCTCAATTAATATTTGACAAGGAGGCAAGAACATACAATGGAGTAAAGACAGACTCTTAAATAAGTAGTGTTGAGAAAATTGGACAGGTACATACAAAAAAATGAAACTGGACCACCAACTTACACCATACACAAGAATAAACTCAAAATGAATAAAAGACTTAAGTCATGAAACCATAAAAATCTTAGAAGAAACCATAGGCAGCAGAATCTCAGACAACTCATGTAGCAATATGTTTACCAATACATCTAGGGCAAAGGAAACTAAGGAGAAAATAAACAAATGGACTACATCAAAATAAAAAAAAAACTTCTGCACAGCAAAAGAAACCATCAACAAAATGAAAAGAGCCCACTCCATGGGAGAACATATTTGCCAATGATACATCCAATGATGAGTTAATTTCCAACATATATAAGAAACTCATACAACTTAATTAAAGGAAGACAATCCAATTTAAAAATGGCTAAAGGACCTACATAAACACTTATCCAAAGTGGACATACAGAAGGCCAAGAGATATGAAAAAATACTGAAAGTCACTAATCATCCAGGAGATGAAAATCAAAACAACAATGAGGTATCACCTCACACCTGTCAGAATGGCTATCATCAACAAATCAACAAATGACAAGTTTTGGCGAGGATGTGGAGAAAAGGGAACCCTAGTATATTGCTGGTGGAAATGCGACTGATGCAGCCACTGTGGAAAACAGTATGGAGTTTCCTCAAAAAATTAAAAAAGGAACTCCCATTTGACCCAGTGATCCTACTTCTAGGAATATATCCCAAGAAATCAGAAACACCAATCAGAAATTGGGCCGAGCCAGCTCAGCCAAGAGTTCGCAAGCCTGAGTGAGGACAGAGAAAGGATGGAGAAATGACAAAGAGAATAAGCTCACTTGCTGCACCTCCCATAGCCCATTAGCTACTAGGAAGAATCTAGGGAGCATCATAAGGTCAAGCCTAATTATGCTAAAAGGACTGTGCCCTCTAAGCTGGGACTTGTTTGTGGCTTTGCCAACAGGTCAGTCTGAGCCTTAACCCTATAGCCGCGCCCTACAAGAAATAATATATGCACCCCTGTGTTCATAGCAGGGCAATGTACAATAGTTAAGATTTGGAAACAGCCCATCATCAGCAGATGAGTGGATAAAAAGCCTTGGACCATTTACACCAGGGGTCCTCAAACTACGGCCACATGCAAATACAAATATTGTATTTGTTCCCATCTTGTTTTTTTACTTCAAAATAAGATATGCAGTGTGTATAGGAATTTGTTCATAGTTTTTTTTTAAACTATAGTCTGGCCCTCCAACGGTCTGAGGGACAGTGAACTGGCCCCCTGTTTAAAAAGTTTGAGGACCCCTGATTTACACAATGGAATATTATGCAGCTGTAAAAAAGAAACAAGTCCCACCATTTGCAGCAGCATGGATGAACCTTAGAGAGTATTATGCTAAGTGAAATAAGTCAGCCAGAGAAAGATAAGTATTACATGATCTCTCACTCATACATGGAATCTAATGAACAAAATAAACCAATGGACAAAAGAGGTCCAGAGACATAGAAACTTTGGAACAGACTGTCAAACCTCGGAGGGAAGGCAGGGGAGGTTGAATGGATAGGAAGAAATCAACCCAAGAACATGTATGCTTATATGCATAACCCATGGACACAGACAATAGGGTGGTGAAGGCCTTGGGTAGTGGATGGGGGCGGGCTAGAAGAGGTCAGTGTCATAAAAGGCGACATGTGTAACACTCTATAATAAAAATTTTAAAAATAAAAGCAAACAAGTCATGTTGAGCTTTTCCCTAGATTAGAAAAAATTCTGATAAGCTATGTACTGGATGCTGTGCTAGGTTTAGAAGCACAAAGATGTCTTCAAGGAATGAGGAGCTGAGTAAGTAAAGACTGACATGTAAACCAGTCATTTTAATACTGTATTCTGACTTCTATGCTGGAGATGTACACAGAGTGCTTGAGAGAGCACAGGTGGATGCAGGATAAAAATCACACAGTGATTTCTGGAGGATAAAGGAGCTGTTCTTTAGGTAAGGAGGAGTTAGCTTGGAGAGTAGAGGTGGGTGATTTAGGAGATGGAGAAGTATTTGGAAATCAGGTGCAGTGATAATGAACAGATTGGTTCATTTATAGAACAAAAAGTAATTAGGTGTTTCTGAAAGTGATTAGTAACTCTTGCCTTCAGAGTTGTACATTTTAGTTGAAATAGTTTTGAAATGATAGAAATAAAATGTATAGATTAAAATTTCACCTTGCTCAGTAAATGAAAAAGCTACATATGAGAGTATTTAAACTTTATTTTCTTCCTACCTTATTTAACATGGGATGGATTGATATTCATGAGTTTTATCTGTTTTAAGAGTACATTCAATATTTTCTGACACCTCTAAACTGGTAGTGATTAGAGTCCGGGTAAATACTTCAACCTTGAAATTAACTCGTCACAACATTCCAGTCTTGTGAGCTGAAACAGTGGTTGTGGATAAACTTGCTGCTGTTTACTGGTCTGGTTACTTGATATAGTACATTTTATATCTGAGTTTGTTACTCTTTGCTGCCATGTGATAATATGTAGAATAATGATGTCTTCACAGGATGAATGCTATCAAGTAAGACAAGTATTTGCTCAGAAACTTCACAAAGGCCTTTCCCGATTACGACTGCCACTTGAGTATATGGCAATCTGTGCTCTTTGTGCAAAAGATCCTGTAAAAGAGAGAAGAGCTCACGCCAGGCAGTGTCTGGTAAAAAATATAAATGTGAGACGCGAGTATCTGAAGCAGCATGCAGCTGTTAGTGGTAAGCCCATATGAAAATGGAAAGTATATTTTTCCAGCCTGCCAATTTTCTTTATAGAGCACAAAGTGATGTATCTGTTATTTATTATATCCTAATTAGCCCACATTAAATAAGTATTACTGTTTTTCAATAATAGCTTCAACTTTAAAGTTTTTTTTAAAATAGACATGCATGTGTATCTAAATATCCACTCATATCTATGCAACTGACGAAATGGCCAAGGGACATAAGCAGTGACATTGGATGGAGGTGCTTTTAATAGAACAGTAAAATGTATATGTCAGAGTATGATCTTTTAATTCAAAAATCTACCAGTCTCTGATCTTTGTTGATTATTCTCATCACAGCCGGCATATGCAGGACCGGCATTCTGGATTCAAACCGGCAACCTTTCAGGGACAGTGCTCAACCAACTGCTCACTTTACCCCATCCACGTTATTAGCTTTTGTGTCTCTCTGACTTTTATTTAATTAAAATCTATCCAGGAATCCAAGTTAAAAAAAATCGGAGACATTCTTCATATCTTTTTCCCCCTCTCTTCATTCACCAAATCCTTAATTTTTTCTCTGGATATCTTGAACATTTCTCCTCAACTGTTTTATCGTGCTATATTTCTCTTGGATTAGTGTGTACATGTCTGCCTCCCTCTTATAAATTCCCCTGCCACTGATCCACCTCCAGTTGTGCCACACTGCTATCAAAATTATTTTTCTAGAACACATTGGATCATGTCACTATCATGTTTGAAATCTGTGTTGACTTTTTTATTGCTCATAGGATCAAATTTAAACTCATTAACATGGCCCTTCAGAGTTTTACACTCAACCTGAGTTTTAGGCTTTTCCCTAGCCATTCCTTACTATAAGTCCTATGCTTCTTGTACTCTGGATTGTTTGAAATTTGTACAGCCATCTTTTTCTCTGTTTTCAACACTACCTGGAAGTTGCCTCCCCTTCCAGACAGACAAAATCAAGGAGCATGGTTTGCATCTTTTTTTTAAAAATATTTTATTGATTTTTTACAGAGAGGAAGGGAGAAAGATAGAGAGTTAGAAACATCGATGAGAGAGAAACATCGATCAGCTGCCTCCTGCACATCTCCTACTGGGGATGTGCCCGCAACCAAGGTGCATGCCCTTGACCGGAATCGAACCTGGGACCTTTCAGTCTGCAAGCCGACACTCTATCCACTGAGCCAAACCGGTTTCGGCGGTTTGCATCTTTTGAGTCCTTTAAAATGTAGTTTGGGAGTTACACCATCATTGGAATTCTTTTTTTTTTCTTCCTCATCTTGGAAAAAAATGCGTGCTCTGGAGTCAAATCCCACCTCTGCCATTTACTGTTTGTGTTTGGGCATGTTATTTTAACAATCTGAGCCTTAATTTCTTTATTTGTAAAATTGGTTTAATTATACTCATTTTTTATGGTTGTTATGAGTATTAAAAAATGTATATAGCCCTGGCTGGGGAAGCTCAGTGGTTAGAGTGCTGATCCTTGCACTGAAGGGTCAGCAGTTTGATTTCTGGTCAAGGGCACGTGCCTGGGTTGCAGGTGTGATTCCTGTGCCGGAGGCAACAAATCCATGTCTCTCTCTCACATCAATGTTTCTCGCTTTCCCTCCCTCTCCCTCCTCCCTCACTCCCTCCCACTCTTTAAAAATCAATGAAAAAAATATCCTCAGGTGAGGATTAACAAAAACAACAAAAAAAGTTAACCTATATAAAGCACTTGGCCTACTGCATGCTCTAAAGTAGTCAGGCCCTAGCCCGTTTGGTTCAGTGGGTAGAGTGTCGGCCTAGGGATCAAAGGGCCCAGGTTTGATTCCAGTCAAGAGCACATACCTTAGGATGGGGGGTAATGTGGGGATAAGGACACATATGTAATAACTTAATAAATTAAAAAATAAAAGAGCACGTACCTTGATTGCAGGCTCCTCCTCAGGCCCAAAGCCTGGTCAGTGCTCGTGCAGGAGGCAACCAATCGATATTTCTCTGTCTTTCCCTCTCTCTTCCACTCTACCTAAAAATCAATGGGAAAAATATCCTTGTGTGAAGATTTAAAAAAAAAAGAAAAGAAATAGTAGTCAGTAGTTGTTAGGTATTGTCATAGGGCACCTACCACATTGAAGGATAGCTTCTGTCTCTATGCCTTAGTATGAGAGCTTTGTCTAGTCTTCTTCATCTTTATATTTAAAATAAGCCTGAAAAATTGTAGGCACTCAATAAATATTTGATGAAAATTTAATTTGAATTTCACTGAATTTTGAACCTTGATATTTTTTCCTCCTATACCTTCCTTAAAATGAAAGATCCTACACACAAATTATTCTCTTTGAATTCAGGAATAGAAATAGAACTTGGTGCCTTATTGACACGTACATTACTATACTCTAGGTTGAACATATAGTTTAAACTTTTATTTTGAAAGTAGCATATATAAAAAGATTGTACAAAATATGAATCTCGGTCTTTTTGAATAATAACCTTATTAAACTAGTTAGGATTACAATTCTAACGTCTAATGGAATATGCTGATCAAAGTTAAAATACAGGGTGGGGCAAAATTAGGTTTACAGTTGTTCACATGGAAAATAATACAATAATTAAAAACATAATAATACAAGAATAAACTCTGGCTTTGGCCAGGTGAATCAGTTGATTGAAGCATCGTCCTGTATACCAAAAGGTTCAGGATTCAATCTCCGGTCTGCAATGGGGCACATATCGGGGGCAACTGATCGATTTTTATCTCTCACATCAAAGTCACTCTCTCTGTATCTCCTTCTCTCCCTCCCCTCTCTTTCTCCCCCGCCCCTCCCTCTAGGAACAAAAAAATCAATAAAAACATATCCTCATGTGAGGATTTAAGAAAACGACAAAACTGTTTCATATAATCACAAATGTAAACCTACTTTTGTCCCACCCTGTATAAAGATATTTTAAACTAAAAGAAATGTTTCTTTGATATTTAAAATGTCCTAGAAACTCTTATTTATGTTTGTGTGTTTTTTCTATCAGTTCTTCTGTTACAGATAGGATCAAATACTTCTACTTTGATTCAGATGGTATCAAAAACCTTTACTTTCTGCTTTTGTGTCACACTAACTCTGAAATATATACTAGTTTTTAATTTTGCTCATAAGCTTACAAGGAAGGCACTGTTGAACATAGTGTTGCTCATAATAAGAAAAAGAGATCTTATGTTTCTTAGTCTTAGTTTGTTTGAGTCACTTTTTCCCATATGCATTTGAAAAGTGAAATAATTGTCTTTGTAACCACAACATATAGTGCATTTAATAGGCATTTCACTATTGTATATGATGGATGAATGAATAAACTGTTTAATTTATAATATATCTTAGCTCTGACTATTTCAATATGTTTTTCTTTTAGCCATAATGTGGTACTGTTGGGATGTAGGAAATACTGAATCAGAGAGATAAAGAGGAAGGTTATAAGACTTGGTTTTCTAACCTGGATGTTTTGTTTTGTTTGTGTGTGTGTTGTGTGTGTGTTTGTTTTTCAGAAAAATTATTATCTCTTCTACCAGAATATGTTGTTCCATATACAATTCACCTTTTGGCACATGACCCAGATTATGTCAAAGTACAGGATATTGAACAACTTAAAGATGTTAAAGAGTAAGACTTTTTTCATCCTATTTTCATATTTTCAGAAAGTTTTTTCCCTTTC